GATCATCCAGGATTCTTTCGTAGTAAGATTATAGGCCTAGCAAATATTGCAGCAAGAATAATTCTTTAGAGTATGGATGCGCTTGTCCCAAATCCATGTCACAAAATTCATTCAACAGTCCATGATGTTGAGACTGGGCATGCCCTTTGAGCATTGCACAAGGGAAGTAGTCATAGGCATCTTCTCTGGTGGCAATTGGGGTGTCTCGTGACTTGATGCGGCACCAAAAGCTGTCTCTTGATTGGAGGCGAGACAGGCCTCTAAGCTTTGCCCATTTCTGTGATGTAATGGGAATGGCCACGGTTGATGGCTTGATATTGTACAGTACTGGTTATTTTTCCGACAGGTACACAGTATTTAGAAATATGATATCCAAGATGGCTTTTGATGTCTTATGGTGGGTAGTGTGGTGTTATAGATATCCAATATAAGTACGAAGATGCATGAAATACCAGAAGTAGGAGAATTGCACTGGCAACTCGATAAATGTTTACCACCTGCTTGATTCCTGTCGTGTGAAAGGTGTCATGTTTCCTGTCACCGCTGGAAAGGATGCCTATTGTCTTCACTTCGATATGCTTTGAAAGATAGAGCTAAAACTCGGAAGCAGAGAGTAGATTTGGGCTATGAATGATGCTTTCTGTGATTTTTTTCCTTTGTTTGTGGTGTAGTTGTGTGTGTGTGTGCAGATTATTTGTTATATGAGTGGCTGCTACCTTTTGTTGTCAAGAAAAATAACATTTTCAGTTTGCCTTAGCTTAGTGCATCCATACAGTAGGGATAAACTGCAGATAGTTTTACTATTATTTCAGTAGAACACAGACAGTAGATTTAATAGAAAAGTCTCCAATTTCTAAAAGCAAACTAATATTGTCCTTACTGCCAATACCTGTATCATTATGATGGAAGCTGTTCTTTTGTAAAGTGCTATTATAAATTCATTGTTATCCTGCTTTATAGATGAGAAAAGTCGCCAAAACTAAAAACCTGTGATAAAGAGCTTATTAAGGAAAGTGTGTAACATTGTAATGATATAGATAATTTATAGTTGTTCTTGGTGATGATTAAGCTATTGCGATATAGGTATTTGCAATGCATCATATAAAGCATTATTATAATGTGTTGTATACATCGCCATTATCATTTTGGTAATTGTGTAATTATTTATGTATGAATATTTTTTTATTGCACAGATGTATTTTATGTTAATTGTTTTAAAGATATGTGCTGTAACTTTTTCTGATAATTATATTTGCTATTTTCCAATCACATCTTTCTGTGGTCTGTGAAGAAAGGCTGAGTCTCAAGTCTAATCTGGTAGTGAAAGCAGTTGTTACAATCTGATTCCATACCTCATGTACAGAATAATATACAGAGGTAATGAGTAAATCAGAACTTATGAAAGTAGTTTTGCGACAAATGACTCTTGAAAATTAAGTCACTGCAAATATTTATTGGAAAGATTGAGCATAGAGTGGTACTTTTTTGATGGTACAAATTCTAGGTTGCTAGGATACCAGTATTTGCTAAAGTGATGAACATGTGGGGCTCAGCAGTGGATGTGCGGGTGTCTTGTAAATATTTGTCTGTTTGTTGAATCTTACCTAGATGATAATGTAAATTATGAATTAAAAAAAAGAGAAAAAGTTAAATTTATTGTGATATACGGAGGAAAAGCATATCCATTTTTTCCAAAATATAATAATTATTATTTCCAATATCATCTAAATCAGTGATTCCCAACCTTTTTCATTCTGTGGCCAATATATAATAATCTCCATGGTCTCGTTCAGTGACTGACATTTCTTCAGATTCATTTAATACTAGTTCTGAATAGTATGATGGCCCCCAGATAGGGAACGCCTGATCCAGATTATTTGAAGCTTATTCTGTTGTTACTATGGGAAAATTCAAATAGAAATTCATTGTGGTTTATTAATATTATCAGTTGCCATTGGTCCTCTACTGAATCTTTTTATCATATTTATTTTTTTGACATAGATAATTTTTTTGATCTGCTTAGGACAAAGGCACATTACAATGCACTTATTGTATTTTTATTAAACATTGCCTTGGTCTGTAGTACAATACCCACATATCTACTAGCAATATTAAGTTTGCTTATTTTTTCTTTGAAAAATTATGTCTAGGCTTTTACCTGTTAATAATTTTAGTGTTTTGTATTCTTTTATGGAATAATGTAGCAATAATTAAAACCTCCAATGGGAGGTAAGTGTTATTATACCACCTGATATGGGATACCAGGTAATATGTGCATTAATATATGATCAAAGATTGAAAATACAAGCACTTCCAAATGTAAATACTCATAATGCATATCTTATTATATGTAAGCCAGCATACTGGATGTATTACATAATATACATAATATATTAAAAACACTCCCCTTTGCAGTAAGAAAACACATGTACTGAGGCTGCTGCAAAGAGAGTGCTTCAACACGCAATGGCAGGAAGCAGTGAACACGTGGCATTACTAGAAGCTGTTGATAGCCGAAGTGAAGATGATGTCGCTGCACAGGAGAATGAAAGTTCGATACAACAGAATGTAAGCATTGATTGTCGTATTTGTTATTTATTGCATTTATTTATTTATTACTGCTATCATCAATATCATGATGATGATGATGATGATGATAATTATCATAATGATGATCATTATCATAATTGTTATTACAGTGATGATGATGATGATGATGATGATGATGATGGTGGTGGTCGTCATCTCTATCACCATTAGTTGTATTGCATTACCTTATTACTTACATGGTTACTTGGTATAAGTTTAAGCAAGACTGACCATCTTTGTGCTACTAAGAACTGAACGTCATGAGGGACAGAATTTGATTTGGCTCTCGGTATTTCACTACCAGTTGGTGGTTTATCTGGTAGTAAGTTCAGTCAACTGTCTAGTTATCCTTTTAACACTTCCATGGAGATCTGAGTTGTGTTTCTATTACTCTTTGATAAAGTTTTGTCCCATTGATTAAGAAGCTTCGATTATATGTTTTTGATTAAGGAAATTCATGTTGTTTTTACTTGCTTATTTAAAATGGGATATTTTCCCTTGCATCATCAGCAGAAGAACGGAGGGTCTCCGTTAGGAAATCCTGTGAAATTGTGATGACTTGGAAGAATGGAACTTTTATCTTGCTTATCATTAAGGACAGTCACGTTCTTATCTACTCATTTTTTTTTTTTTTGTGTATATGTGAAAGTATGTCAAAGTCATCCTAGATATCTTCCAACTTATTTTTAACAGAATATTCAATCCATTTATTATGTAGAATTCTTGATTATTTTTTCCAGATTTGTTGTAGGGATTTGCATTTCAGAAGGGCAAGTAGGAAGGGTAGAGAGAAGGGAGGGAAGGAAAGAGGAAATAGATAGAGGATTGAATAGATAAATAAATAGATAGATAGATAGATAGATAGATAAGTAAATAAATAAATAAATGAAAAAATAAATAGATAGAGAAGTAAATAGATAAATAGATTGATAAATAAATAGATAAATAGATTGATAGATAAAGAAGGAAAGAAGGAAAGAAGGAAAGTAAAAAAGTAGAAGAAAGTAAAGAAAGAAGAAAGAAAGAAGGAAAGAAAGAAGGAAAGAAAGAAGGAAAGAAAAAAGGATTAATTGACTGACTGATTTACTTTACTGACTGGCTGACATACAAACAGACTGACTAACCAGCTGGCTGGCTGGCTGGCTGGCTGACTGACTGACTGACTGACTGACTGACTGACTGACTGACTGACTGACTGACTGACTGACTGACTGACTGACTGACTGACTGACTGACTGACTGACTGACTGACTGACTGACTGACTGACTGACTGACTGACTGACTGACTGACTGAACTGACTGACTGACTGACTGACTGACTGACTGACTGACTGACTGACTGACTGACTGACTGACTCTGACTGACTGAAAGACAGCCTGACTCCTGACTGAAAGACAGCCTGACTGAAAGACAGCCTGACTGAAAAGACAGCCTGACTAGCCTGACTGAAAGACAGCCTGACTGAAAGACAGCCTGACTGAAAGACAGCCTGACTGAAAGACATCCTGACTGAAAGACAGCCTGACTGAAAGACAGCCTGACTGAAAGACAGCTTGACTGACAGACAGACTGACCAAATGAAAGAAGGAAGAAAAGATGAATTATTAAAGGAAGAAAGGAAAGAAGGAATTAAGAAAAGAACCATTGAGATAAAGAATAACAGATGGAAAGGAGGGAAGAAAAAATGAGACAGAGAGAGATGGAAAATTGTAACATGTATTTTTTTCATCTGGTTATTTTCTGAGGGAGAGAGATAAGAAACAATGTCAAAAGTGATGTAAGCTTTCCCGCCAGATAAGCTATCTTGAAAAGCACACCCATGCCATTGTATTTAATGGACAAGTACCTTTTCACAATGCTAGTCTATCAGGGAAAGCTTGATATTATACAGCTGTTAAACCCAACCGTCACAATGGGGCTTTCTGAATATAGGTTTAGTTGTTTTTGTGGCAAAAGGAACAATGGATTTGCAGCAAGGATTTGAAAGATTTAAAAAGAGATTTTTGACAGAAAAGAAAGACGAGCAGGAAATGGTGACTATGAATAGTCAAATTGATCTCAAAGGAAGAACTTTTGAAAAGAGAAATCAATCAGTAAGTGTTTCTCTCGTTTTCCTGTTGTTATTGTCAGTGAATGTGTCGCTATTCAAAACAGCGAAATTTTGGTGATTCTCAGTGGCTGAAAAGGTAAACAAGAAAATGTGAAGCAAAAATTTGGAGATTATTTTGATATTTTGCTGTGGACAGTATGGTGGTGTGAGCGTTAAAGATTAGTAGATAATTTCTCAAATTGTGTCAGCTAAGGATTAGGCCTAATGAAACATCTAGGCCTACTACATAGTTAAAAATGACTATCAATTTGATTTCTTGAATGATAATGGTATAAAAGTCTCAAAAAAAATTGAAGAGA